CCACTGGCCAACGAAGGAAGAGCCAGACAGAACCTGCTGGTTTTCCATCTACCTATCTGTCTGTCTAGTTTTTGCGGTTGCGCATGAGCATTGAAAATTTTCCAGTTAGCTGGACGATCAAGATTTCTGTGACTACTGTCTTACATTACAACTATGTATGTATGTATGTACATGGGCACGTAGTTCCATATCTAGTTGTGCTTTTGACGCGGTCTACGGTGTTAGCTACTCACAACACCACTCAACTGCTTGTTCTCTGTGTGTTGCTCCGCATTTGAAGAATCTCGCGCTGTCTTGCCTTAGCCACCGCTTGCCTTAATGTCACCATGCAATGTTATCATTGTGAGTTTCAAACATACACACATTCGTAGTTATGTGCGATAAACAAACTGTATAAATTGCGCACAGTCACAGTCCTCAAATTGGTATAAATCATCTTCTGTGCCTGCTACTCTCACAAATAAACTAACGAGGTACCCTGCAGGGAAATGAGAATTTGTCAGACTAGCTTCTAGCATTTTCCGAAACAGAAATGAGCCCATTATAGCTTAAAAGAGGCTTTAGAATACTGTCTCAGGGTTTCGAGAAAAAAACGGGTATGGGCGAATGGTGGAGGTTTCCAAATCGTCTATATAGTATGTACATATATAACATCCGGGCTAGTACTAAGTTTCGTAAGAACCAATACTGTGAGCTACTTGTTTTTACATCGTGGTCTGGCTAATGTTTTATTATTTCGTACTAGATCGTATCGATCGAATAACTCAGTAATGGTTTATTTATAAGATAACTCCTGCCAACAGGTGTAGCACCTTTGGACTGACTAGGCATTAGAGAAGTAATCTCTCGACGAGCAAAGACCAAATTCTACAGCCAACTCATTATGATGCAAAAGCATGGATGATGACAACATCTTAGAGTCGGCGTTACGAGTTTTCGAAAGAAAGGTTCTGCGAAAGATTTATGGCCCTTACAACGGCAAATACATGAACTATGAACTGTACTAGATATACATAACGCGCTGTTGTAAACAGTTATAACCGCATAAAGAAGTAGAAGATGATATAAAAGAACATGAAGTCATACGCCGGCGCTATTGAACGTTACAATTTTCCTACAGGGCATATTAAAATGTACACTACACAGTATGTACGTGTATGGACTGTAAGAGCTATTTTCGCGACGATTATTTTGTAATTAGCCATGTTCATCGGATTAAATGGAAGCCGATGTAGCCCTCACATATCACGGCTCTGACACGGTCGATTGTACGCTTTATTGTTAACTTGTACGAAGTGTTGTTTTCAATTATGTCTGCCAATGTCGCTTTCCAACAACCATCTAACCTGAAAGAGTTGTGTTTAGGTAAAAATTCTCGGAAAATTTGCCATTTTATGCAGCGCTCCTGATACCGCCACACACTGCTGTGATGCAAACGGAAGGCGCCTAGCCATTTACCGTATTCAGTGCATTGCGGCAAGACAGCAAGATGTGCGATGAACGACTGCATTGTGACGCGTTCGCGCGGTGCATTCTCATCATATTTATGGCCATTGTAACCATTAAATCGAAGACACTTTGTTTGGGAATTGTGCTGCTGTCCACTGTATAGATACTATGATGCCAGTTTAAGCCTTGCTTTTCATTGCTGATCAGAATTAAGAAACGCTTACTTATGAGTACTGCTAGATAAAAAAGTCCTTTCTATATAAATGGAGGTACAATGTCTCTAATTGTGCTTTATTTCTGAGATAGGTGATTGCTCTACACACTCATATCAATAACCAATCCCACAATCAAACACGTAAAAATTCACAAATACATAATTATTTTGTGATAAAGTCTTAAAATTCTGTCAAGATAATCCAAAAGCATAGATAATATAAAATCAATGTGGATAAAATGGGTAATTTGTTCATCAAATCTTGCTATTAAACATCTGTGAACTCCACAAAAGATTTTGAAAAGGTTGACCTATAAACTAGCATCACGTATCTGTGGCTGTGTGTGTACATTGAAATGAGAATGTAGGGCAAGTACACTCTTCGCTGTTGTCTCGGCACAGCATCCACATGTCGTTGGCCTCCATGCAACTTTAATAATATGTCATTTACGCAAAGGTCAATTGGTATATTCATGATAGAAATCAATACATATGTACATATGTAAGTATGATGAGGCTCTACCCACAGCATTTAGCATCAAAATAATTTCAAAAAGGATCAAACAAAAGTATATTTGCAAGTACGTATATGGACATAGAGAGATAGTTTTAGAAGATTTGACTAGGATTTTTATACTCTTCCAACATATTTCTACAGAGTATAATAGTTTTGTTCACCTAACGGTTGTTTGTATCACCAAAATATAATCGAGTTAGATAGAGGGTTAAATATATTTAAATAATGAGGATTACGAGAGGAGTTGAAATGACTGTCGGTCAGTTGGTCTGTATAAGCAATAACTTGTGTACCAATTAAGATATTAAAGTTACACGTATTCCTTGGTATAAAAAAAAGTGGTAGATTAAGATAAATATAACACTATCGCCTGTGGGTTAAAAAGTAAAGAAGTAAGGTTTAGAAGTAAGGTGATACAGTAGGACTTCATAGGAGTCTGGCTTAAAATATAAACTAGATGCCTCCAGGGCTCTCTGAAAAACCTCAACAGTATTTGTCACATTACTGCATTCAATTCTTTTTTTTTTTTTTACAATTTCCCACGAATTCTCTTTGGGATTAAGGTATGGGGAGGCCACTCCATTACATTGACTTTATTCCTCTGGAACTATGATTTTAAGACATTTGCCGGGTTTTCGGGTCGTTGACCTGTTCGAAGACCCAATTAAGTGACATTCCCCATTCAGCATCTGGCAACATTACGGATTCCATAATGTCTCTGTAAGGAAAAAGCATCCCCAGTCCAATAACACCACAACTATGTTTGACTGTTTCCATCCCATATGATTTTTAGGGAACTGCAATCGTTTTAGTTGGTTACATTTGCTAAAACTGACGAGCGACCGTTCTTGAGCTAATGAATTTTTTTTACCAGCTGATCTATCCGTTTTTTCATGAGTTTTACGACAGTTTTGTTCCCAATAAAGTTCGAAATTATTTTTCAGATTGATGACTTGTGAAAAAATTCAGAGCAGAAATTATGCTCAGCAAATATTATAATCAATTTAAACTCAATACCGTTGGAAAAAGAAACGAAGAAAACAGAGTTGCAATTGTTTTGTCGTGGCGGATTGCCATATATTTAAATTGTATTCAAATAAAACTGCCAAAATAAAAAAAAAGACGCGGTAAACATTGCAAAATATGTAACTTCTAGAAAAATCTAGGACTTCGCTCTAGTTGCAAATGTTTTGTCCGATACTGTATGTAATTGTATGCGGATTGTATGTTCATATATAGACACTAACATTCAACAAACCTAAAACAACTCATTAATTATTATTTATTATTTACTACGTATAATTGTGCATTTTTGAGTATTTTATCAATAATTTCAGATTTAGCTCAATGAGAGTTTGAAGGAATTGCAGATCCAGATAATGTCCGTACGTACATATGTATATAGAACGTAGGGTGCTTTGATTACATGACTCACTCACCCGTTGAAACTGATAGGTGTGTATGAGAGTCAATTAATGTGAATTTCTACTGAAATCGGCATTATTCATTAACAAACAATGAATTTAATTGATAAACATTTGGATGCCGGTTTTCGACGGTCTAAAAATACTACGCTCCATGCTTTCAAGTGTTTTTAAATTTACAGCGGTCTCAATTAGGTATAACGTACACTTCAAAAGAACGAAATTATGTTTAATATTTATGAATTCAACATTAATTCTATAATTTATTAATTACGAAATACATTTAAATTGTTTAATAAAAAAATTAAAGTAAATATTATTATTTCATAGCCATTTACATATTCGACTTGAATTTGAAACAATCATATTAAACTTATCACTATTTTCAGAGTTCAAGCAATCCCAGGTGCCGTTCTCTTTTCCACTTTGTAGCTTTCTGTTGTAAAGGAAATCTTGCATTCATGTTTGTGCATATGCCTCAATTCTCTAGTTTAGACAACAAATCTCGCGTATACACAATTAACCACACACACGTGTCAAATAGGTACAAGTGCATATGTATATGTAAACAAGTATCTGGAAATCTGTTCAACCTTCTGTGGGGCAACATCTTAGCTATACAAATTTGTTTTGCTATTATACAAGCACAAATATATATACATACATGACTAGGCATAAGAAACATAATTTCTTGGGGAAGCACCCGATACGCATAAATTAACGAGTAAAAGGAAGTATCTCACAGGCAACAATTAATCCATACTTTTATGCCCAATATTTTTTAATGCTCTGACGAATGTGTGCAGTAAACATTTTATATTAAAATCATACTCACTTGTTCAATCCACTTCTGTTGGTCTTTTGGTATTCAATGGCCTTTTAATAAGAAATCGCACTGCAATTTCAATAATTTCACAAATTTCTATTGTTTATCAGGAAATGCAACGACAAACGACACGAATGCGACACGACAAACGAAAATGACGGACGACGGTCAACGAACACGACCCCAAAGAACACCACTAAACAGATATCATATATGTAGGTAAAGTATGTATGTACTTCACTACACGTCAGTCACTTTTACTAATTCCAGCCACTCATTTTCGTAAAAATCTAATTTTTTGCAACAAAAACAAAGAGCTTTTCTCCGTTTTCACTTTTAACAATGAAAAACTGATATCGAAATGGCAATAATTTCACTGTACAACGGTCACCGACGGTACAAATTTATTTTTACATTGCTGTTGAAGATTACACTTTGCATAATTTATGTTTTAAGTAATGTGTGAGAAAGAGATAGTGGAGGCTTAAAATCTGACAGTCAAAATGACGGCTACAACGACGCGTCGGCTATTCAGCAATACAGCGAAATTACAGAGAGCTTCAAATGACCTCAAAATGGAATCGGTAAGGCAGTTGTGCTTGAATTTAATAAAATAAGAAAAAATTAAACATTTTCATTTGACTCACCTATTTTATTACCGTTTCTAATTTATAATATATGTGATATTTGCGTCATTTATTTTCAAACCCATTTATTTTATTTTATACCATACAAATTATTCTTACTTCACTGTTGACTGTTGACAAATTATAAGCATACTGTGAGTGTACATATAGCTAGTATACTTACATACATACATATGTGTATATAAATGTCAATGCAAATAGCTGTATAAACAAAAGTACATAACTACCCAATAAATAATGGAATATCGAAACAATGATCCTGGAGCTGTACAATATGGAAACTTTATAAACTACTATGATTTCAACAACGCGGGACAACGATTAAACTTATTACCACGCGATGTGTGGATTGGGACTGATAATCGCCAACCTGGTGAGCCCTACTTGGTTCTCGACATTGGTTGCAATGCTGGAAACCTGACTCAGCTGTTGTATACATTTTTAAATGAATGCGTTGGTACAACACATGAGCGTAATATACAAATACTAGGTGTTGACATAGATTCAGATTTAGTGAAGCGAGCTAAAACTGGAAATGCGTTTCCGTCAAATGTGAGTTATGAACATCTGGATGTTATGGATTCAAATGAGTCTAGTAAAATTAACGAATATTTACATAAATGGAATCGTAAAACCTTTGATGTGGTTTGTAGTTTTTCGGTAACTATGTGGATTCATTTGAACCATGGCGATGACGGTTTACAGCTGTTTCTAGAGAAACTTTGCGATCTGGCTGAATTGCTTGTTGTTGAACCACAACCATGGAAATGTTATCGAACTGCGTTACGACGAATGAAAAAAGCTGGTGATGAATTTCCCCTTTATAAAGCTCTGCAGTGGTGCACGAATGTAGAAGAATGCATACAAGTTTTCTTAGAAAGTAGTTTGGGAAGAAAAAAAGTGTTTGAATGTTTACCCACTCGATGGCAGAGACGTATTTGCTTTTATCGGTGACCCGGTTGGTCCAAATTGATTTGAAACATTTTTGAAATGTATAATTTATATAGATTTATATAGATTTCATAAAAATAAATAAGAATTACATTGACATTCATAGGGTTAAAAATATGCTCTTCACAGATTTTGTATGATTATATCTAACATATGTACTTGTAAAAAGTGTTTTGTTATGAGATTTGAATGAAAAGTTAATTTGAACGATCCCATCGCCAAATGGTGCCATCATCACAAACGCAAATCAAAATGGCTCCATCTTTGGAGAATGATGCCTGTCTAATTGCATTTGTGCACTTAGGATGTACTAATGTGCTACATTTAGTTAGATTTGGGTCTGAATTATCTAGCTCCCAAACATAAGTTTTGCCCTGCTGATTACCCAGAGCCAAAACTTTCTGCCAAAAATTAAAAGCAAAACGAACAAACCATATTTCACATTCCTTGTAGTCAAAATGATGTATAATTGTTGTTGTAGAATCCTGAGCTTTGACATCAGCATGTTCGAGTTTGCCAGGCTTCCAACATACAATAGAATTCTCGCATGACTTGGAAAGAACAAAGTCTCCAAACCATTGGACGCAGTCTACATAATTCCGATGAATATCTCGTGTTGAAAAATCAGGGAAATGTTCTTTAATTGTTGGAAACGGTGATGCGTTTTTACTGATATTAAATGTGCAACTATTTTCAATAGCATCCCTAATCGAAGGTTTATCAAGACGCCACAATTTCAGTGAGTGATCCATGCCACTAGACATAATCCGATCGCCGCGTAAATCAAAATCAACAGAAAGCACTTCATCGCGATGTCCTTCAACACCTCCAAATATAGCCACACACACATCTGTTTGAATGTTCCATAACCGAAGCGAGTGATCTTTACTGCCCGATAACAGAAACTGGGGCAGTTTGGGATGAAATTTTAACTCATTTATTGCATGCCCATGACCAATGTAGTGCTTAGTGCAAATATGCTTCGATGGATTGAAAATGCGAATAACTCCTCGATACCCAGCGGCTGCTAGTATTGGATCGCCGTTCTCAGGATCGTATGACCAGGCGCATGTATAAAAATTCTCGTCGGGCTGCAGAAACATAAATTGTTTAATAAGCTTTCTTAGTAATAAATATATGTATATACATCAGGATCCGCATAGCACTGAAGCAATTTTATTCCAGTTGCATTGTTGCCACCTTGCTCGTTTTCTCGTGGACACTCGTAAATTGAAATACGATCCTTTCCCACTGATGCGAAAATTGCCTGCTCCTTAATAAGATGCTGATTAAACTGTGCACCAAATAAGGGTTGTCCGTGATCCTCGCGCAAATGACAGCTTTAACAAAAACAGGTCGTTAGCATCTTTAAACTAGGAAATAGCTTTTCTATACATACGTACATATATTTGTAAAGTGGTTTTACTGATTTTTTCGACTTTTTTCGTGGTTTTGAATTCTTCCTGTTATTGGGTGATTTACTACGCGATGTAGTAGTCGTCGCCGTACTTATTATACTTCCTGTTTCATCTTTATCTTCATCAGATTCTTCGCTTTCCCCTAAAGAATTTGCTGTAATAATTGAAGGGAGTTCCAAATCGATTATAGGAGGCGACTCCGTGACCTGTGGCGGAGATGGTTCTACGCTATTAGCATTACTAGACCCTTTAACTTCGGAATTATCCTTTATGTCATCAGAGGCCATTTTGAATTTCAGATATTATTTCAGCTTTAGAGCATTAACTATTTACGTGAAAATAAAGTTGGCGTCAAAAATACAAACAAAAAAAGACAAACTTTATGGTACAATGACAGCTGAAAGCCGGTTTTTTTTTGGGTAAGAGGCGTGCGGTGACATGGGCGGGATAAAGTGTTGCCACTCAAGGATGTTAAATACATCTAGTTAATGAGGACCAGCAATACAGATTTTTGTTATTTGCTTATATTTTCTAATATTTTACATATACTCGTATATCATTTATTATATGGATAAAAAAAATTGAAAGTGCACTAATTTGACTCAGCTCCCGCATATTTTTCTGTCTCCATATCTATATAATTTTCAACTTCTTTCAGTGCTTTCGCGCAATGCTCTGTTCTTGCTAGCAATTCATTTGTAAAGTAGTTTCTTAGAATATTGGATTTCTCTTGCGTTAGTCTTCCTTGGGCATGTAAGAGCTCTAATTCATGTGCCAAATATGGACCCATTTTCAACTCTGCAGCAGCTTTAAGGTAAGCACATTTGCGATTACGAACTTCTGCGAGTTTCTGCAAATTTGAACAATTTTGGAACTCCAAGGAAGTTATTTGATTAAATCCAGAGAGCTTTTTGGGGGCACATTTTCCGACTGGTGGTGGCGTACCAAGTTCAACAAATACATCCGGTACTTCTGCCTTCAACTTTTTACCAAAATCAATGATTGGTTGTAAATTTAAACGTAATAAGGACACAATTTCTTCGCGTATAGCTTTCCGCTCAGTATAAGTCAAATTTATGGACTCTCGAAGAGTTTTCAAGCCTATTTATGGATGATATATTATTAAAAGAACTATGCTATTTAGTATTTTTTTACCTAGAAGAAAGTCGTCTCCTCCGCCAACATTCATATGCAAGTAGTCGTTGACGTCAAGTATTTTTAAAGTATAATCGACTTGTTCACCACTATCGGGTAAATCCCATTTATTTATTCTTATTTTTTGTAAGTTATCCAGTATCAAACGTAATTTCCTGATCTTGCACAATTCGTTATCTCGTTTAGCTTCCATCTGCCTACGTGCCTCAGCATTGAGAATGCTTAATGTTTCATTTGCATCTGCCATGTTGACTGAAATATATTATTTAAGTCATTTAATTATGAAATTAGTAAGAAATAACACTGAGGTAAATAAGTTTCTATATGATCGCGTTTGACTTGTTTGAATTTCCCGTTGATACCGCTCTGTGGGTAAAGCAGTTTTGTAATACAGCTTTGACAGGTTATGAGTGTTGACGGCACATTGTTTATTGTGAATGCTGAAAATGGGCAAATCAAAGGTAAGTAGAATGATTCTTCTTAAATTGAAATAAAAATAATAAAATATCCAAATATATTTTTACAGAAACAAGAAGAAACTCACAAATCGCATAAGAAATCTAAAAAGCATTCAAAGCCATCACCAGAATCGGACAAGGAATCGGAAGATGTATCTAAAAAAGTGAGCACCTTAAAACGTAAACAAACAGAAGTAGCACGTGTGCTACAACTTAAATGCGCTATGCTGCTTCAAGGAACTTTATCATATTTGGAATACACAGAGTTACGGGAGGAGTTAGTTCGTCTAAATGCACTAAAGGTGACATTTGCGCAGCAAGCCGCTAGCTTAGAAAAACACTAAAATAACATTTAAAGTGATTCTTAAATTAAAACCTATTTTTGTTGTAAGTCTAATGTTGACGTTATAAGAATTTTATAAAGTGATTATTTTAAAATAGTTCTATTTCATAATGTATAAATTAAATTAAACCATACGAAACATAATAAAATAAAAACCAGGTGTTTAATTTTTTATATTCACAATAATATTATCGTCGAATATACTACTTTGACATTTTGTTGTTTCTCTTAAACGTCAAACTAGTATTCATAAACGTTTACCGATTTCTAGAAAATATTTTTTGGTGTCTTCAGTGAATACATTGTAAATTTTGTGCATTTTTGGCAAATAAACAAAAATGGGATCTTCTTCAAGTGGAAAAAAACATAAAAAAGACAAAAAATACAAACATCGTAGCATTGAAGGAATTGATGAAGGGGAAAGTTCATCTTCGCATCGTCACCACAAGCACAAACGGCATAAAGAACACAAGGATCGGCATCGCCATAAAAAACATCGTGAACGTGACCACGATCGTGAAAAGGAACGTCGCCGTCGTACAGAAGTTATTGCTTTAGAAGAGTCGGATTCAGATGACAGTAAGTGCACTGTAGTGCGCTGATATATTGTACACAGTATTTTAGTGTGTAACTCAGTGTAAGCGGCGTCATTTGGACAAGTCCGTTTTTATTGGAATAGCATGAAAACATTAATTCAAAGAGCGATTTAAATCAAGTTGTAAAGAAAAATTACTATATATTTTTATACTATTCCAAGAGTTACACAATCATTTACGTGTTTATGATAAATCATCGCGTTTTTCTCTTCTTTTACTATTTTTCAGATTTGCGGCAGATATTGAAAATGTATGAAAAGTTTCGCCACTATTTGAAAGCGTTTTTGAAATTGACATCATCGTACAAAGCGATTATCAAAATTAAAATTTTTATGATTTAATAGCGTGTTTTTTCATTTTTAGGTTCTGATTGCGTTGAGGTACCTCTTGATGATAACCCATTAAGAACTTATGGACAAGATAGTGATATTGAATGTGAAGCACCACCGCCGCCACAGTTGTCAAAGCAAATTGTAGAACGTGAAAGGGATCATGAACGGCAAAAGGATAGGGAAAGGGATAAAGATTGGATTCGTGAACGTGAGCGAGAAAAAGAAAGGGACCGCTATGAAAGGGAACGGGAATTGGAGCGCCGTAAAGAAAAAGATATGGAACGAGAACGAATTGAAAGAGAACGAGATCGAGACCGAGATCGAGAAAGGGATCGTGCTCGAGATAGAGACCGAGAACTACGAGAAAAAGAGCGTGACAGGATAGAACGTGACCGTGAGCGAGCTCGAGAACAACGTTTTGAACATGACAGAAGTAATCGCGACCGTGATCGGGAACGAGACCGTGAGAAAGTAGTTGACAAATCAAAAGATCGGCAGGCTCGGGAAACCAGATCCCCATCACCTATTCTTGAAAATGGCGCAGGCGATTGTCTTTCCATTGAAGAAACAAATAAATTACGCGCTAAGTTAGGGCTGAAACCTCTCGAAGTAGATAGTGGACCTTCAAAGCCAGCTACTTCATCCGCAGCTGCTGTGGAAGCCAAAAAAGTGCAACCAGGCGAAAAAGAACTGTCATCTTATAAAGACGAATGGGGAGAATTTTTGCATAAACCTGCGTCGAATTTAAAAGAAAAGGCCGAAGCAGAAAAAATGAGAGAGAAACTGAAGCAACGAAAAGAAAAAAGGTTCTTGGAGGAGCAATTAGCACGCATACGTACATTAGGTGAATCTGACGAAGAAACGGATGATGTATCTAAATGGGTATCACGAAACCGGCGGGTTATTGATGAAAAAAGGGAAGCAGAAAAAAGGGTTTGTATCAAAATAGAAATAGAAAAGAATTTATTTCATTCTTTTTAAAATATGATTTCATTGTTAGGCGAAAATGATTGAAGAAATGGATGCTGAATTTGGCGTAAACGATTTGGTAGAAAAAGAAAAAGAGGCAGCACGTCGAAAGGCTTACAATGATAAGCATCTTAAAGGTTTACGAGTAGAACACGACATGGATGAGTTCACTGAAGGTAAATCAGTCATACTGACTCTGAAAGATAAAGACGTTTTGGACGAAGAAGAAGATGCTCTGATAAACGTGAATTTGATTGACGAAGAGCGCTATCGTAAAAATGTTGAAAATAAGAAACAAAATCCTCTAAGCTACGGATACAACGTATACGAAGAACAGTATGACGAGCTGGGTAATCCAATAGAACGTGGAATATTGGAGAAATACGACGAAGATATTGACGGAAATAAAAAAAGGAAAGAATTTGTCATTGGCGATAACGTAGAGGAACAACGCGAGCATCGTAGAAAATTGCTAGAGGTAACCACATGAATTAATCATGCTAAAATTCTTGTTAACTATTTTTTTCCAGATAAAAACAAAACTCGCAGGAAAGCGTTTGGAAACTTTGGAGGATGCCAGAATCGAACTTGCTTCTGATACATATTCTGAGGCTGAGTTGACAAAGTAAAGCAAACAAAATTATTTTAACTTTGCACCCAATTAATCGGTATTTTTCTCGTCACAGATTCAAGAAACCGAAGAAAAAAGTAAAGAAACTAAGAAAGAAGTTGAAAGTCGAAGACTTGCTTCCATTAACTGATGAGCCATTGGCGCAGCACTTAGGTAGCCGAAGAGATCGGAATCGGGAAGCAGAAAATATGGATATAGATGACACAAAGGACGCTGTTTCACAAGTAAAGATGGAAGAAGCTGACGATGACCTTGAACGTATTCTTTCCAAAGCGCGAAAGTTGAAACAAAAAGAGAATATAATCAAGAAATCACTTCCAATCGATATAAACAGCATCAAGGATGAGATCAAAACCGAACCCGTTGATGGTGCAGACGACGAGGGTGGCATCCGTGGTGCAGACGGCAACATTGTACTCAACGCTACTGCTGAGTTCTGTCGTACCCTTGGTGATATACCCACCTATGGCATGGCTGGCAATCGCGACGAAGATTCCAATGATATGATGGACTTCGAAACGAATGACGGCAACGAAGATCGATATAACGATCGACACAATGAACCGGAACTTAATCATGGAACGTGGAATTCGGTTAATCCAGATGAAGTCGTACAGCCGGCCGAATTTGAAGATATGGGCGATAATTTGGAGGAGGTTGCCATTTTGGATGAGGAACCAGACGTTAGTGCTGGTGTGGCGAACGCGTTACGCTTAGCCCTTTCGAAGGGCTATTTAGAGAAGGAGGAGCACAATAGGCCAAGCAACTCAAAGATGGCACATCTGCAAGCAAAGAACTATTCCATTGAAGACAAATCGGCAGTGTAAGTAAACCAGACTTTATGCGATTCAATTTACTGCAATAAAAATATACTTATGCAAATTTCAGGGAAGATGATAAGTTTGGACGGCGCGATCGTTTCCACGCCGGTCCTATTATGGAATTCAAAGACAAAGACACTTTCAAACCAAACGTGAAGTTGGAATACATTGATGACAATGGCCGTATTCTCAACTCGAAGGAAGCTTTCCGATATTTGTCCCATAAATTCCATGGCAAGGGTCCGGGAAAGAACAAAATCGAGAAACGTTTAAAGAAAATGGAACAAGAAGGCGTAAGTAGCACTCGCAAATCTGCCAAAGTGAGAATTGAAAATTTTATCACAAACCTTTTTTATATTTAAAGTTGATGAAGACGATGAGCTCCACAGATACACCTTTGGGCACACTCACTATGTTGCAGCAGAAGCAAAAGGAAACGAAGACACCGTTCGTGGTACTGAGCGGCGGCAAGCAAACCGCTGCTGTTACCGGCGCCACAATATCCAAATATAAATAGGAGACTTTCTATGTAAAATTCTTTATTTCAACTCTTCGTATCGTTAAGTATTGTAGCCCTATGATAACCTAAACTTTCACAATACCATTAACCAGTCTGCATTCCTACAATACCAAAACGAAAATTGCAATAGCCCAAACGGACAATTTTGAAGTGGTCACCAAGCGCAGAGGACCCAAAGCTCACAACATTTATTAAATAGTCGTACAAGATAAACTGGTATTGTAGATTAACTTATTCTAAATGTCTACAATAAAACTGAGATGCATGAAACCAGACACAATACGACAAAGCATTTGCTGTTTAAATCGTGCGGAGGGAAACTGTACTTCCGGTAAGGTCGACTGAAATGAACACAAAAAATATGTTTTTTTTTGTTCTGGAAATGAAGTGCACCACTTACTTGAGAAATGCTCATTTACTGCATACTTTTGGGAGTCGGCCAATAGCTCAATGTTCAAGTCACCTTTTTCCACACAGCTTAATGTTGTTGTGCCATTTGTACGAATTTTCAACGAAAATTTTGACTGTGCGAACTTAATGCCTAAATAAAAGGAATTAATGTCCACAAACTTCGGATTGCAGTTCATATATCACAAGTTTACCATTGATCGTGAAGCCTTTGCTCGTGGGCAGACGGTAAGTTTTTTGAATTACCATTACGGACTGATTTCCAGCCAACTGC